ACTAGGGGAAACATCACCGAAGTATCCCAAGGTGAGGCGCAACACATACATCCACCCAAATCAGCAAAAATCGCAGTTTTGACAAGAGGAGGAGGGGGAGGAGGAGGAGAGGGAGAAAGAAGAGAAAAGGGAGAAGAAGAGGAAGAAGAAGAAGAAGAAGAAGGAGGAAGAAGAAGGAGAGAAGAAGGAGAAGAGGAGGAAGAAGAAGAAGAAGAAGAAGAAGAAGAAGGAGGAGACCCCCCTCCTCTTTCACTCACCTCTCGCTGGGCCAAATTCTCGGTTTTGGCCTCTCCGGGGGTACCTGGGCCTCATTTTGGTCAGGTACATGCAGTCCGAGAGGCTGGTACCCTCTCTAGCTACCCCTTGGCCTACCCCGATCTCTTTTTACCTCCAAAAGTGCTGCCTTTTGGGGTACCCATTTCCAAAATGCAGCCTTTACTGAAAATTGAGGGCCTCAAGGCCCATTTTTCGCCTTTTTCTTGGTCTAGGGCTCCTTTGGGTAGGCCGTTGCATTTTTCCAAGTGGCCGCACATATCTCAGCCTTGGATTTGGTTGAGATCTATGGTACTCATCATTCCGAGTTACTCGAAGCCCCCCTTGTTCCAATTTTGGAAGCATGGGCACGGACAATAGGAAGCTAGAGGCTGCCCAGAGTTGTCGGGACCACCAAACTAGAAAGGGGTTGTCTAAGCAGGAAGCGGCAAAAGGACTATGAGAGAACAGCAGGGGCGACTCTTTCCCCAAGGACGGAGAAGGGCCGCCGGGAAGTCGATAGTAGCATAGGAGGTGCCCAACAAGGGAAGGAAGGAAGTGGGAATGGACAGGGCGCAAGGCGCTGACGCGACGTGGCGGCAGGAGGGCCAGGGAGACCGCAAGGTAGGTGGGAGCCGACACCCGGAACGGAATAACATGCGGGACGCAATAGGAGCTGGGGGCGGAGGTCGCTGTAAGGCGGAAGGACGACAGGAGCACCTAGGAAAGACGTGGTACAGGGGGGGCAGGAGTGTCGGGGACCACATGGGATCGAAGGACGGGGCGG